CAATTTTGAAGGTCGTGCACCCGTAGGGTCTACCTCTTCGGTGTTGGCAGCGCCAAAATATCTCTCTCCCCATTCTTTCTCAGTTTCTGGGTTGAGCAGCTCGGTTGGGAGCAGTTAATTGTAAATTGGTGATTAGCATTGGCATCCGTGGGTCGCACAGCATTGCAATCGTGTTTGCCAGATTTCTGCCAGATCCTGCGCCGTTGCTTTCAAAAAGGCAGCACCGCATCCTCCAAGCTGTGAGAATTGTCCAGAGGCGATGGCAGCGTCCAGCACGTTGGCCACTGGCGCGGCAGCCTCCGCTTGCCTGCTCAAGGAGGTGAGACAAGCCCTGCAGCGCACAGGGAGCAATCAGGCTGATCGCAGCGCTATGGATGGCAGTCGGGCACGCTGGAGAGCCTGCTTGGACTGTCCAGCTGAGATGCCTGCAAATTGCTGGCTCAGACGCAGCTGTGCTGCTCCGCTGTCCTCCGCGTTCTCAAGTTCTCAAGTTTGCTGCACGCGCTGCAGGCCGGGCGCCCCAACAGCCCTGTGCTGTCGTCCTCGTCCTTCCTGCCTGCTTTCCCCCAGGAGTGCGCTCGCCCTCACCGGCGGACCAGCCGGCGGGACGCCTGTCCCCCCGTGCAGGCCATCGCTGCCCCGCCGACCAAGGAGGCGGGCAGGGCCCCCATTACCACTGGCTCGGTGAGGCGCTCCGCAAAGTCTTGTGCGTCTCGGTACGGATCAGCAGCCACAGGTTTTGCCCGAAGCCTCGCCACTCTGGCGGGTGGTCCCTCCTGGCGAGCGCCGCCCCTGCTGATCTGTGTGCATCGTTGGCATGCAGGTCAAGTCTGCCATGACTCTGACCCAGAAAATCCTGGCGCGCGCCTCGGAGCGGCCGTATGTGGCCCCCGGGGAGAATGTGTGGGTCAACACGGATGTGCTGATGACACACGACGTGTGCGGACCAGGGACAATTGGCATCTTCAAAAGGGAGTTTGGGGAGAAGGCCAAGGTGAGCATGCCCCGCCCCTGCCCCACACTGGAGGCCGCAGCATGGTGACGCTCGCCTGCACGGCGTGGCCGCCAGGGGCTCTGGGCAGTGGGGCGTGGCTACCGCTTGCTGAGGCGGGTGCGGTGGGGGTGCGTGCAGGTGTGGGACAAGGAGAAGGTGGTGATCATCCCGGACCACTACATCTTCACGGCGGACCCACGCGCCAACCGCAACGTGGACATCCTGCGCGACTTCGTGCAGGAGCAGGACATCAAGTACTTCTATGACATCACCGACCGCTCCAACTTCAAGGTCGGCCCCGGAGTTGCCCCCGCATAGGCGCATCCGCGATGCAACGGGGCATGCCCAAATTGGGGCCAGCCCATTTGCCGCCCTCAGCCAGATGTATACCCTCTGATCTGCCAGCGTGGCAGGCGCGCTTATGCACCTGAGAGTTTGCTTGCCAGGCCTGTTCCCCTTGCCTTGTCCGCTCTCGCATGCGCCCCGCCGTGCGCTGAGGTCGTTCTGCGTCTGCAGGCCAACCCGGACTACAAGGGCGTGTGCCACGTGGCGCTCGCGCAGGAGGGCCACTGCCGGCCGGGGGAAGTTCTGTTCGGGACGGACTCGCACACGTGCAACGCGGGCGCGTTTGGGCAGTTTGCCAGCGGGATCGGCAACACCGACGCGGGCTTCATCCTGGGCACGGGCAAGCTGCTGATCAAGACGCCGCCCACGATGCGCTTTGTGCTGGACGGCACCATGCCGCCCTACCTCCTCGCCAAGGACCTCATCCTGCAGGTCAGCGCGCCGCACACCCCCGCCCCGCAGCCCCACCCACACGCTCTCGCGGGCCCCGCGGGCGGGCTGCAGTGCGGTACAGGTGCAAAGACAAGGTCACGGGGTGTAGTGTCAGGCTGGGCAAACACTAAAGACTGCACGAAATGTGCAGTGTTGAATTGGTGTTCACTGGCTTTGCAATCTGGATTGTCACTGCTTTGTGTCCTTACTGTAGAAATGCACTTCAGGCTTACAAGCTTCTACATCAGATCGTTATTTTGAATTATATGCTCACTATTCTTCACTTATCTGTTGTACGTGTGATCTTTGTACATTGATGCAGCTTGTGGGGCAATATTGCGGTAGGAAATAAGAAGACGCCAGTTGCTGATCGCTGTGTCATATTTTTTGTCGGATCTCTTCTTCGTCTCTTGCCCTCTTGGCAGAGGTCCCTGTCCTGGTATCTGCGCACTGCGCGTCCTGTCCGCTGTGCTGATCACACGGTGCATGGCTGCGCAGATCATTGGAGAGATCAGCGTGTCAGGTGCCACCTACCGCACCATGGAGTTCACTGGCACCGCTGTAGAGGCCATGACGGTCAGCCCCCCACCCCGCGCTGCCCCCCTCTGCGCTCCCTCTCGTGCTTAGCTGCTGGTTGCGTCCTGTCAGCCCCTGTGCTGCCTGTCTGCTGCGCCCCCTGTTCCGCCCTGCGCTTGCTTGCTGCTACCGCTGTCTGCTGCTGACTGCGGGCCGACCGCCGCCGCGTGCGGTGCAGATGGAGGACCGCATGACGCTGTGCAACATGGTGGTGGAGGCCGGCGGCAAGAACGGCGTCGTGGCCGCAGACGCCACCACGTTTGCGTACCTGGAGGGCAAGACGCGCGCGCCGTACGAGGCCGTCTACAGCGACGGGGATGCGCCCTTCATTGAGGAATACCGCTTCGACGTCGCCAAGCTCGAGCCCGTGGTCGCCAAGGTACGTCAGCCCAGCCTGCGCGCCGCCGCCCCATCTGCGTCTGTCTGCACCCGTTGAGCTTGTGCCCGCTCTTGGTTGACTGGCTGGGGGAAGGCAGTGTGGGCTGCTGACAGCGCCGCGGCTGTGTGTCTGTGTGTGCAGCCGCACTCGCCAGACAACCGCGACCTGGCGCGCAACTGCCGCGACAAGAAGATCGACCGCGTGTACATTGGGTCGTGCACGGGGGGCAAGACGGAGGACTTCCTTGCGGCCGCGCATCTGCTGCACAGCGCAGGGGAGCAGGTCAAGGTGCCCACGTTTTTGGTGCCCGCCACGCAAAAGGTCAGCCACTGCCCGTACAGGGCACCCCGCTGCAGCAGCGCTGCCACATGACTAGCAGAGCTGTTGCAGTTTCAAGCTGTGGAGGAGCGAGTTCGCAAAGCCATGCCCCATTTTCGGCGGTGCTGCCTGAGGCTGCATGTCGTGTGCTGACGGGCGCTGGGTTGGATTCCCCCACTTGCAGGTGTGGGCCGACGTGTATACCCTGCCCGTGCCAGGGGCGGGCGGGAAGACGGCGGCGCAGATCTTTGAAGCTGCCGGCTGCACTACGCCCGCCGCCCCCTCGTGCGCAGCCTGCCTGGGGGGGCCGCGGGACACGTTTGCACGCATGAACGAACCGCAGGTAAGGCTGACAAGCGCACACACCCTAGCTGCGGCTGGAGCCTTCGTGGACCGGCCCCTCGTCCAGGGGCTGCGTGGAGCTGCTCGAATTGTCACACCTCCAGGCGTGCAGCGAAGTTGGAAGTTTTGCATCCTTATGCATGGTGGGGCAAGGTTGTTGGAAATGTCTAGCCAGACTGATTTGATTTTGCGGTTCCTATGAGCAGGTGTGCGTCTCAACGACCAACCGGAATTTCCCGGGGCGGATGGGGCACAAGGAAGCGGAGATATATCTCGCCTCGCCTTATACGGCTGCAGCATCAGCTTTAGCAGGCTTTGTGGCTGATCCTCGAGACTATCTCAATTAGTGCAGCAAAGCTTCAAGAATGTTATTGCTCGCTTTGGTACTAGTGTGTTGGCATCAGCATGATGAGCGATCGCTTGATGAAACATTCTCACGGCCCACTCTTGAGAATGACCCGCATGTTCAAGATTAATGTTTATTAAGTTGAAATCCGCGATTGGATGTGCATGTAATTTTCAATTGAGGCTTGGGCTAAAGAGGCATTCTGTTGCAACCACCAAAAGAGAGCATCCTCTCTTTATGCACGTTGCCGAAGGTACACATCAGATTTTTGGCTAAGGCAGAAAGCCTTTTCAAGAAAGCTTGCCAACAATTTTTTTGACAGTAGCAAATCGTCGTGGGAAGTGCCTTTACTAATCTCTTGAGGCACCTACAAGTTCGGAAAGCAGTCATCATGCACTTCTAATCAAGACTCGGAATGCTTCTGTCGAATGCATTTCAACTTTCTAATTGATCTAAAGAAACATTACTGACTCCTACGTCCTCTACAGCATTGATTTATCAAACGTGCGAAACTAGTATTTTAGCATTATGAAAGTAAGTCTTGATCTTCGATCTCCTAAGGGCTAAGGGCGTTAATAAATTGGAAGTTACCATCTCCGAATAGTTCGAAAGTAGATCACGACACCTTTCCACGTCGTCACATGCACGAGCTAAGGTCAATGACACCATTCATAAGCCATCATGAGCCATACTTTAATATGTGGAAAATCCCAAAAGATCCTGCATGCAAGAATCGCATTATTCGTTTACGGCTTGAACCATGAATGAAATGGAGCGCTACAGCTGTAACCCTTCTCCCCTTAGACGATTGGTCCAACAATTACAAGCTAAGAAGGCATTTTACCCTCAGCTTTTCATAAGCTTCAGCCCTTCTCTATAACGTTAAAGTGTGACTTAAAGTAAAGGTTCCTTTATCACCCTCTGACTTGGCTTCATTATGCTAGCATCTCACTTACAGCTTAGGCGTGATGATGGCTTTGATTTTTTTTATAAAACTCACTCCTCCCCTTATTTATAGGAGACATCCTCGTCGACTTGCTCCTGTTATGGAAGCGGAAGCCTTCCGATAACTTGGGAGGTTGGGTGGGAGTCCACCGTCTCAAGCACTTGCATTGGTTTTTCCTTTCCTACCCTCTGCTTTCACTCTTGGGGCCGTTAGCCAAGTCCGCGCAGATCCCCTTTCATGTCTGGCTGCCGGATGCTAGTATGTGTCATGCTACCTTACTGTATCAGACCATCCCTTCAGTGCTCGTCCAAATGAAAACCCAGAGCGTTTTACACTCACATTGACCGGCCAGCTTTTCTCAGCTGGTAGCCTTTTGATTTCGGCCTTTTCTGAGCCATTTCAGTGACATGGACCGTCTGAATCTAGATTTGGTCGTGGATAATTTACCACGTTTTGTAGAATTCGGACAGTCTTTGGCCTTATGCCCTCTATTTCGACATGCATGGCATAGCACAGTCCACATGTCACATACGCGGGTTCCTTATTGTGCAGTTTCATGGAGTACCGCGCGGTACTATCGCGGTATTAGTGCACTGGCAGTACGCGCCAACCGCGTTCTATGTATGGTACCGCCGTGTACCGTGTACACAAAACGCAAAATTCCGCCCGTCGGGATTGCACTCCTTCCAATGAAAGCAGTTCACAGACCCCCAGGGTCACTGCGTTGATTGCACAGAAGTTGCTTAAAACTCTGTACAGACCCGCGATTTCGGGGGTTCTTTGGAGAAAGTTCTGGCTCTGCGGAGCTACAGGTGTCCCCGGCCAGGGAAAATTCATACTTCCCGCGCGTTTTATAACTCTGCGCCTGCAGACAAGAAGTGCCCGGTCAAACAACCACCAACCGGCCAGATACCGGCTGAGGTAGGAGCGTACCCACGGTACCGAAAGCAGGTACCTAGAGGCTAGGTACCCTACCCAGGCACTACCATGAAGGTAGACTCGTAGCCTACGGTAAGGCCTAGGTACGGTACCAATACCACACGATACCTTGGTATCGTACACCCAGCACGCCAGTACGGTACTTATATATCTAGGTGTTAGGTACATGGATAGGTAGATAGGTACAGACCGGTATAGATTGCCACTAGCGCAACAACCTGAAGGCGGTACAGCGGACATCGCCGTACATTCAAAACCTACCTAGGTAGTCGAGTGCCTACCGTACGTACGGTTTTTTGAAATTCGGGACAACGGACCCTTTGAGGCCTGTCCAACGGCCTGGCTACCGTTCGATGCTTCCAAGGGTCTGCTCATGTACGGCTCGTGTGGATGCTCCAGAACATGCAATAGGTACCTACCTAGGTTTACTACTAGGTAGTAGCAGGTAGGTACGGTGGGTTGTACACCTTGCACATCCAGCTGGAGAGCTGGGGCTGCTGAAAAGCTGGACGTGATTGTATGTCTCCGCTTAGCTAGGCCCATCAAAAAGATGAGCTGACAAATCAAACAGCAACTCCATGCAACTTCAGCAGAAATTAGGGAAGCCTCCAAGATTGTCTTGAGGGGCCTTCAGAATTGACTTGCTGAAAAAGCACCTTGAAAGATTTTCTCAAGCCCGAAGAAAGACTTCTTTGCGGGCCCTTGCATTCAACATAGTCAACAATGCTGCTTGCACTTTCTTGAAGAGCGGCGTAAACGAGCAAGCAGCGCTTACGGCAGCCATTGTTGAATTGTTTCCATCTTTCAAGACGATTTCGCCTCTTGAAAACCATGTCTGCTCGCCAACTCCAAGCTCGTTGTTCGCAACCCGAATTTTTCCTTCACCGCGAGTACGGTGCCACTGCACTCCGAGTGTACTAGCACCTTGGTACCAACCCGCAGTCATCGTAGTACGACCCTGAAACTTAATGATACCGTACGACAATAGTCGAACTAGTATTGCACTAGTACCGCGGTGACATTGCGCCAACCCGGCGGAGTTCCAGGCACGCAGATCCGCGTACGTTACATGTATCTATAACCCCTTCTTGGGCTTGCTTGGTTTTTAGTACTGCTATTAGTATGAATAGTATGAATGGCAGTATGAACAGTACGAACCCCCCTAAAATTCAGCCCTTTTCTTGAACAGTCGTAACCATTTTTGAGGCTCACAGTAATCTGTATAGATATGGTATCAATGTTCAAGACCCAAGAATAAGGTTGCTGAAGTGCATTGGGTTAATACCCCATCAATGCTATATGATGAGGAGTTCGAGATAAGAGAAACGGCCCGCATTTTTTATTACTGAGGATCTGCCCGTCTACTCATACGGTCTCCTTTTCTTTTCCTTTTTGTTTATTTTAGCGGTAGGCTCCTAAATCTTATTGTTAGCGCTCCGAATCCTAATCTCTGGCTTCTCGAACTTGCCTTGGATCATGTCGTTGGCACCTGGTGCCTTCACCCTCCCTTCGAATCGCACCTTCTCAGCTTTCAGCTCCTCCAGTCGAAAAGTGCCCGGGGTCTGCTCATGAACTGGTCCATGTCCTTTCAAAATCTCTTTGCTGACTTTGATTCCGAGCCCTTTCGCTTCTCCTTCGCATTGCTCTCGAAATCTGCTTCGCCCCTTTCCCGTATTGTCTCCTTTCGGAGCCCTGCTATTTCCAGGGTCCCTTCTTCTAGCAGTTTTGGAATCCTGTGTTGGAAACCTCGTCCAGACCCTCCTTCTTCTGCAATTGTCAATCTCCGGACTTTCCCATGTTTCGAGCCTCTTGCCTGCTCGAGTCTTTCGCTAGTTCTTCTTCGAATCCCGCAGCTTTCTCTGCTTGAATCCCCTTAGCTACGCTAGCTGCGTTCCTTTCCCACCTAAACACCCGCACCCGCTTTCCCTGGCTCCCCTCAGGCCCTTTGTCAATGGCTGCAGCCCTTTGCTTTGCCATTGAATCGTGCCATTTTGCCGCTCATCATGTCCGCAGCTACTGAGAACCTTGATTTTTTCTCTTTCTGCTTGCAACGCCGGGCTAGCTCGGCTCTGTCTGCGCTCTCTCCTATACTAACACGGCGCTGCAGGCTTTTTGATCGTCGGAGTGATTTGGTAATTTTTCCACCCTGGGTGCAACTTTTCTCTCACTGCTCTCAAGCCGTTCCTTAAGCCCTTTATTCAAGTATTCCAATGCTTCTATCTCGTGCGAGTCAGGCTCGATGCTCGACTTGCTCTCCCCTGACGTGCTAAACTCGGACTTTGACTCAGACTCTATTATTATCTCCGATTGGAAGCTTTTGTGTTGCTCTAAAGATGCATTTTGCTGTTCTCCTTCATGCGCTAGCTCTAGATGATCGGAATCGTACCCCTCGACCTCCCCCTTCGGTCTATTTTCTCGGTTTGCTTTCTTGAGTTCTCTTCATCCTCCCTCAGACCGCATTGTTCTAAGAACTGTGCCTGCTCTCCTGGACTTTGGAACAGTGGACCCTCCAATACTTCTAAGAGCTTAATGATTTCTGCTAAACTTTCCTCACATCCTTTGAGCCCTTCTGCCATGACATCTTCTTCTTTGGAAAGTCCTTTTGAAACACAGCATTGTTGGAAGTGATATTCAATCAATCAAGTTCACACAATGTATATGGAGTGTTCCGAGTCACGGCCTAGCTCTAGGTCTACACTCTAACCT